ATGCTAATAGCTGTAACCATTCATTTCACTGCCACTTGAATGCTCAGGCAACTAATTTAACCTTGGAACTATCTGATTTTCAAAGATCGCAGCTTATGTTAGCTCATCTGACATCCTCCATTACTGAGATATGATTGTCAGTAATCAACAGCTGTCTGCATCAAAAGAGACCATTTCATTTAACATTATTAATCCATAATTGAATCATTCCATCATATTATCTCTATCTACCACCAGCATCTGGCTGAATTAAAACCACCTTCATTTGCATTTGTACTATATTGCCAGTCAATCCCTGGAGCATGTATCTGCAATAAAGCAATAAATTTAATACTGTAAGAAAATATTAAAATGGTAAGAGTTTAATGCTGATTGATCAATGATATTCTAGATCCACATCCATGACATCATAACAGGGCTGGTTGCCAAGCACCCAACATGTAGTCACATGACTCGGGGGGGGGTTGTCAGTCATCAGAACCAGGTCATAAGTGCCCCCAGGGGGTCCACTGTAACTTGAAATGGTTGCTTAAGCCACCAGTTGTAAATTGAGGATTATCTGAATTCAAAATATTCTGAGAGATTGTGACTTAAACTAATGAGGAATTGGAAATGTCTTTTGTAGCTCCCAAGATTCTGCATTTATCCCCATTCTAGCACTCAAGATACCTTATTGACGTTTGTATATACCGGTAGTTCTTGCTTTCTTGGTCTGACCAGTTATAGGGAGCTTCACAATATTTTCCATTGGAAAATGAACAAATCTTCCTCAAGCTGTATTTTAAATCCATTTTAAGACATGTGGCCTTCAACTCCCAGCATGCTGGCTGGTGAAAGAATCCAGGGATTTGAAGTCTACATGTCTTAAAGTAGCCAACTTTGAGAAACACTGCCTAGCTAGCCAAATGTTTGGTGTTACATGGAGTTGGAGCCTGAGGGAAGTGGGCAACCCTGCAGGGCTGTAGTCGGCCCACTGCAGGCCCACCCCTTCCCCCAAGCTGTGGAGCTCCACGCCCTTTTTATCAAATTTATATGGCCACCTATCTAATAAAAATTACTCTGTAAGGCCTTGGTGGCCATTCATACTTTAGTTGTCCTAGGAAACTGAACTCCCTCTAGGGGCCATTTTTCTGCAGTAGGAAAAATGTCAACTTCATGAAAGACTTTCTACAAGACTGATATCTCCTTTTGCACATGTGTACACACACCTACACAAATTAAGGAAATGGTTACTTTAGGATGCAATTTTTCACTGGAAGCTCCTCTAGCAGCAGTTGTCCTGGAGGAGACACTCATAGCCTGGTCCTCCTTATACAGGTGTCCTGCTTCCCATACTACTACATCCCGAGTATAGCCTAATGGAGCCAGTCCTTTCCATTCCCTGGAGGATAGAGAAGGGCTCCCCATTATTCCCAGCTGCTGAAAAGTTGTCTGCAGAAGGGAAAGGAAGGGTGGGTTGATGGAAAGAGGCACCAAATCTAATAATGAGGATTCTGTACATGGACAGAGATGGCTACAGTACTTCAATAGCCAGATACTTTCCCAGCCATTAAAGGTAGTCCTCAATTAGTGACCACAGTTGCTAAGTGGGAAATCACATGACCATGACAGACTTATGGCATCACTTCCCATTCAGTTGTTAAATCACCACAGCCCATTAAGCAAAATATCATGTATCCACAACAGACTTACTGAACCACCTCACTTCTGCCGAAGTCATTAAGCAAATTGCTGTGGGGTATTAAGCAAGACATTAAATAATCAAGATTCAATTTAGTTTATCTAGCTTCATTCTGTCCTGCAGATACTCTTAATATGTCTATGAAGTCTTCAGCTGTTGCTCTCAAGTTAACAGAGACCTTACCTAGCTTTGTTTAATCAGAGCTTCAGTGTCACCTATACCTTACCTTCAAAAACTAAACAGATTATACAGTGAGCTTTTTTTCTAATCATCTGCATGAAAGAATACCTGTCCTTTAAACCAATGGTCCCCATCCTGTCTGGTTCTGCAGACTGGCGGCAGCAAGAGGGAGAGGGGATGGTTTTGCACATGTAAATACAGCTTTGCACGATCGCACGCTCACCCACTGCAGGACAGTTCCCATTGGGTTGCAGCCCAGCAGCAGACCATGGACCGAGGGTTGGGGACCTCTACTTTAAACTACATACACTAAATTGAGCTTTTCCAACTGCATGATGTATGAATACTACCATAGAGAGCTTTTCAATTAAAGCTATCAGAATCCTAGACATTACTCATCCTCGCTTGAGGTTATGCTCCAAAAGATCTGGACAGCACCAAATTACAGAACACCCAACAACATCAAGGTGTTTCATTGGTTAATTCATCACTTCCCACATTCCTGTCCTTGGCCAAGGTGGTTCACAATCTACATACTAATCCAAGAGAGAAAGTCAAAGAGGATAAAAAGAGAGGCCAAGATAAATAAAATAATATTTTGTGATCAATTATGTAAGAAGCAAATTGTCTTGGGGGGACACAGGACAATTTGCAAGACATCTTGTATGTATAGCATCAAGTCGTATCCTCAGAAAGGCTTAAATTGGCAGAGTTGTCTCCCATTTTGAGGTGATACACAAAACCTGATGGGCTTAAGCCTTCACAAAGGCTTAACACTCTTTTGAAAACCAACAGGAAAAACTCAGTTTGTCCCCAGCCCATTGCAGAAAGAAAATTTCAACCACACCAATATATAGGAACAAGCTATGCCCATTCAGCTATGCCCCCCAAATGATTAAAGACCAGTTTTGTGTTCATGTTGCTAATTAATCTTAGTTACCGTACTTCATCAGCCTATATTTTTCCTCCCATGATCCTCCAAAGTCCTTTAATTTCTGTCTGCATGTTTATATAATATCCATTTACACATACCACTGGGTGTCTATTGCTAAATAAAAAAATAAACCTTTAAAATATTTATCCTCTGAAGGGAAATTAGAAAAAGCTGCAAGATATCTACTTAAAAAAAGCCCTTACAAATAATCGTAACACAGTTCATGCCGTTATATTTATTAAACTTCTATGCCACCCATCTGGCTGAGACTTAGTATTGAGCTATAAATACTGCAAACTACAGTTAATCCCTATTTATGATCACAATTGACTCCAAAATTTCTGTTGCTATGCAAGGCAGTTGTTAAGTGAGTTTTGCCCCATTTTGCAACTTTTTTGCCACAATTTTTAAGCAAATCACTGCAGTTGTTAAGTGAATCATGAGATCATTAAATGAATCTGGCTTCTCCCATTGACTTTGCTTGTCAGAAGCTGGCTGGAAAGTTTACATGTGGTGATCACATGATCCTGGGACAATGCAACTGTTGCAAGTGCATGCCAGTTGCCAAACCATGTGATCATGGGGATACTGTAACAGTCTAAGTGTGAAAGCTGATCATACTTCACTTTTTTCAGTGCCACTGTAACTTTAAATGGTCACTAAACAAATAGTCGTAAGTCAAGGACTACCTGTAATTCACAAAAGGAATGTTCTTCATTAACACAGTGTGCATCTGTGTGTATGGCATAATTATGACAATGTATCCTCTTTTAATGTACAATAAGGTAAAATTTACAATGCATTTTAAGGCGTTGTGGGTATGTGTACATGTAAAAAATGTAACTGTGCAACTTTTCCCACCAAGTTGCAGCTGAACCTCAACAGACATCTTTATTTACACCAGGGCTTTATTCTAAAATAGACATCACTTCTATCTCTGACTGAAGATGAACTCTGTATATTCATTCAGAACAATGTCCCCTCAACATGCTCTCCTTCTCTTGGAAATTGTTACAGGGTATGCTTGTTACAGAATATGCTTTTGAGCATACACAGAGGGCTAAGAGTACTGTGCAATGTAATTAAGTGGCAGAAGTTCCCATTAAAAAGAAAGATGTTCATACCGTAATGGTCTTGAATGCAAATATTCACTGTTAGTTATCAGTGAATGCTAATAGATATTCATTATATTTAGATTTTTTAAAGAAATACATGGGACAGGAAAGCCTCTCTTTTTCCCAAGCTATTTCCTGGAGAGAGAGAGGACATTTTTATTGCCTCTTAATCAAGAGATTCATTCCATTAACAATGTCTGATGAAATACAGAACAAGATGAAGAAAACTTCTCCACATCTTCCTTCATTTGCTGTGTCAAAAATTGGCTCATGCGTGCAAAAGAAATGATGCATTCTCCAATACGTGCAAATTGGTGCCTTTATTCTCGTTTAAGAATAGTTCTTTGCATGGACTGAAACGACAATTGAAAGCAAAACCTCGTCTTTTTTTAAAACAAGTTAAAACGGCATGCTTAATAAATAACGCAGAGCGTAAAGTAAATAAAAACTGCATTCCTAAACGTATTTACTACGAAGAAGCCCTACTGAATAAACTGGCTAATGTCACATTACACCAACCTCCGGCTTGTTCAACCAACGTTTACTGGAATGACAATAGCCCAGTTGTTTCTCAACCTTGACCATTTTAAGGCATGTGGACTTCAACTCCCAGAATTCCACAGCCAGCAATGCTGGCTGTGGAATTCTGGGAGTTGAAGTCCACATGCCTTAAAATTGTCAAGGTTGAGAAACACTGCTTGAGTTAGCCTGAGATCCCTGAGCAAGACGCGCGAGAAGCGTGGTGACGTCATACCGCTGAACGTCCCTGCCTTTTGTTCGCACGCGGAAGGTGTGGCCTGGATTGAAAGAAGCCGCTGCCGCCATCTCCGCTGAATGGGCAAAGAAAAGGTAGGCGGGGGACCGTCTGCCCGGGGAAGGCTAAAGTGCTGGGGCGTAGCTATGTCCCGCTCACGCTTCGGAGGGAGGCGGGGCGTCTGGCAGACACGCCTCTTAATCGTTTACTCCGCCCCTTCCTTGTCCTTCCGGCCCAGGCCACGTGAGAACCAAACCTGCCACTAGGAGGAGCGAGCGCGGGCGGAATTGGGAAAACCGAGCGAGCGAGGAAGCGAGCGAGTTTTGTTCCCGTTCATGCTGCCTCTCTGTCTCTCTTCGCGGACTCTCTGCTGGTAAGGCGGCTGGCTTTCTCCCTCGTCTCCCCTTCCTTTTCGCCTTCTCCCAGCGAGGTGCGAGGCTCTGGTGAGAGGCTAACCCAGATCTAGAGGGGGGAGAACATACGTGCTGGAGGGGGATCAGGCTGAGAAATGGTAGGTGGGAGCGCGAAGATGGTCTATGGCAGTGTTTCTCAACCTTGACAATTTTAAGGCATGTGGACTTCAACTCCCAGAATTCCACAGCCAGCAATGCTGGCTGTGGAATTCTGGGAGTTGAAGTCCACATGCCTTAAAATTGTCAAGGTTGAGAAACACTGGTCGATGGCGCTCCCTTAATACTGTAATAATAATATTGCCGATACAGGTAGTCCTCGATTTACGACCAAAATTGAGCCCAAGATTTCTGTTGTTAGGTAAGACTTTGTTAAGTGAGTTTTGCCCCATTTTACGTCCTTTTTGCCACAGTTGTTAAATGAATCACTGCAGTTGATAAATTAGTAACCCAGTTGTTAAGTGAATCTGGCTTCCCCATTGGCTTCGTTTGTCAGAAGGTTGGAAAAGGGGTTCACATGACCCCAGGATGCTGCAACCATCATAAATATGAACCAGTTGCCAAGCATCTGAACTTTGATCATGTGACCACGGGGATGCTGCAAGGGTGGTAATTGTGAAAAGCAGTCATAGGTCACATTTTTCAGTGCTGTTGTAACTTTGAACAGTCGAGGACGACCTGCACCCAGGGGCAGCCCTTGGCCCTCCTCTGAGCTGGATGGATGGTCCAAGGACTTTTTTCTCCTAAAATTCAAGGTGGTCTATTTGAGTTATTTACCTGTCCCCTCCCCCTGATCACATGGTCTTGGTGTTGGGGACTGTTTAGTGCTCTTGCAACTGACCAGTGCAGCTGTTCTCTCTCTGGTTGAGTTGCAATAACCACTGTCTCCCCCTAATAATAATTCAAACAACACCTCACTATCCCACTATCCTTGAGAAGGAATTGATAGATAGATAAAATGCCAAATCCAGTCTAAACATCTGGCTGACTTTGCGGCAAAGCATAATAATAACTTCTTTTTCACCGCATCAGATTCAACAAAGAAAATTACATGCTGCTTTCTCTCAAAGCTTTTCTGAAAGCAGCCAGGAGCCTTAGCAGAAGTGAAAAATTGGCCTTGCTGCTGAAGAAGGCACACTGTCACGCTCACACTGGTGTATTCAGATTCCTCAATAAGGGTGCCTTGCCTTGGACTGGACCCTGGTACCACCAATCTGGCATCTCCAGCTTTCCCTTTCCAGCAGCTTTGCATGTTTGCCATCTGACATCCTTGTGCCCTGCCTCTGAGATGGCAGAACAGCGGTACTGTGTGGACTATGCCAAGCGAGGCACTGCTGGCTGCAAAAAGTGCAAAGAGAAGATCCTCAAGGGGATGCTGCGCATTGGAAAAGTGGTACCCAATCCCTTCACTGAATCTGGCGGGGACATGAAGGAGTGGTATCATGTCAAGTGCATATTTGAGAAACTGGAGAGGGCTCGAGCCACAACAAAGAAGATTGAAGATATCACAGACCTGGAAGGCTGGGAAGAACTGCAGGAGGCTGAAAAGGAGATGATCAATCAGCACATCTCAGGTGAGCTATGCATCAGGGAGATTGCAGCGGCAGTTGCAATTAAAAAAGTCTCTCTTGAGTTGACCTTGCTTCCCGATGACTGAATGAAATCCATATTGCTTTTTTTAGTAACAACATGGAAGTGATTTTTCATTGCTTTCTTCTGTGATCACTTTTTTTACTTTCCAGTCTAGGAAAAGACTGGAATTTTCTACTGGTTTCCCAAGCAAATACTAATTAGATCTGGGCTCTTTTTTATGTATTTATCTTTGAGATCAAAGGTACTGCCATTGGTGACTTTTGTATAAATTACTAAACAACCCATTGGATCATCATGTCAATAATATTTCCTTACCAGATTCCTCAATGCGTTCAACAGTGGCAGATCTTCTAATGCAGAGGTCTCCAACCTTGGCAACTTTACGACTTGTGGGCTTCAACTCCCAGAATTCCTAAGCCAGCATAAGCTGGCTGAGTAATTCTGGGAGTTGGCCCACAAGTCATAAAGTTGCCAAGATTGAAGACCTATGTTCTAATGTGCTAGAAAGGTTCTTAAAAATTCAGGGATATTCAGAGATGTAGCCACCTTGAAAGAAGCCCATGTTGAACTATATAATACAGTCAAACAGCAGCAGTTCACCACAGAAAATGTTTTTATGACATATGTCATAAAATGTTCTATGGTAATTTTTATGTCATTAAATATTTTATAAAATTTGCCAAATTTCAATTCCACAGGACTCATGGGTCCCAGATTTTGGATGTATTCTGTAAATTAGCCCATTTGAAGTACCTTGGTTGAAAAGTTTTGCTCTAGGATGCACTGTTTTGCCCAGTTAAAAGTTACAGACACGAGAGTAATATAGTAGTATACGGAAGATAGTATTTGGAACATTGTGTTGTTCTCACAACATTCCTATCTGGTAGGGCATTGTTTATACCAAGTCTAATTGTTCCCTAAAGCATGATTATAACATGAGATAGTCAAATGATAACTGGTGTTAGGATAGATTATTGAAAAGTTATTGAGAGGGAGATAATAGGGTTTTTTGGAGTTTTTTTAAATATATAAACTATCCCAAAACAGTTTTGCTAAAAGATAACATATCAATATTTAAACAAATTAAACTAGGAAGGGAGTGCGGTTGTGATCACCATTCTTATCCACCTAGCAAATGTTTTGTTAAATTGGGTGTATATTTACATTCAGTCAACATAACAGTATCCCAAAGTCTGATTCCAAAAATATGAACTGATCGTTTGTTATTTTTGCCAATAGACATTTGCTGTTAAATAACAAATTTATCTCAAATTTATCTTGTAGTACTGTAGACTTTTATTAATGTCTTAAAACTAAACATACTGAGAGTTGGATAGTTCCAAATAAAGTGAACTTTCCCAAGTATCTCCTTGCATGATCTCAGTGGAGATATAGAATAAATTCAGGCCATTTTGAGGTTGTTAGAGGCAAATTGTATGACTGATTCCTTTAAACTACACAATAGGACAAGTTTGGAAAAGGACAATGAGAATTATCAGAAGATTAAAAACTGCCTGATCAAAGAGCATCTTTAGCATTGAAAAAATAAATGGGGAATTGTTAGAACTTTTCAAATATATATATTGTTCAGGACACAGAATAATGGATAATCCCCTCTCTGTTCCACAGACCTTTCTTCCAAAACTGCAAACACTCCAAAGAAAAAAGCTATAATCCAGACAAAGATTTCTCCTGGTGGACAAATAACATCCCCCAAGAAAATGCCTCTGGTTTCTTCAAATCCTTCACCAAGGAAATTTTCAAGTTTTACAGGTTGGTGAGAACCCTTACTTCCTTGCAACATATTGCTGACATTTCATTTTGACTTAAAATAGTGGTGGAAGAAAAATAATGGCTCTTCAAAATAGTAAGAATGTAGGTCTTCGCTGACAGCAGATGTGTTTGCAGATACAGTATGTACAAAATTAGAATCAGCCCTTTCAGGTGAAAGCGACAGCCTCTTTTTTTCCCCCCCCTCCAAAAAAAAATTAGCTTCCTATTCTGTGCTCTCTGCCAAAAGAGAAGACTAAAATCAAATGACTTCTGGATGAAATGTAACAGTCAGTCTCTGCCAGTCCATCTTTCCTTTTAGCACAGTTTTGATCAATCTTCCTTACTTGTATTGTTACCAATCTAATTATTTTATCAGATGTGTGGCATATAGGAATGGCATATAAATCCTCTTCTAAACATTAAGAGAGCCAGTTGGCTGCAGTGATTAAGAAATCAGGAGACACTGAATTCTAGGCCTCTGTTAAGTATTAAACCCAACAGAGTGATTTTGAGCTAGTCAATCTCAGCCTACCCCACCTCACAGGTGGTTGTGGGGAAAAATTAGAGGAAGAAAATTGGGTATGTTTGCTATCTTGAGTCGACCAACAAGTATAAAATAAATATATTGCAATAGTATATACCGTAAATAAAATCAGGACATTTCCGTTTACCCTGAAACTCTTTGTCTGCTTAGCAAAGTCAGGCACTTATGAAGAAACATCCAGCTCTGGCTCTTCCCACAAGCCCAGCTTGTCCACCGAGAAGTGTGATCCAAAACACAAAGACTGTTTGCTGCGGGAATTCAGGAAGCTGTGTGTAATGGTGGCTGACGAATCCAGTTACAATGTCAAAACTCAAATAATTCAGGACTTCTTACAGAAGGGAACCAGTGGAGGTACAATTTCTCTTTGTTTTCACTGGTAGGGCACTTGGGTCTGGGTAGAAACAAACCTGGGATAAACATAATATTTATTATAATTTAATAACAATTTATTGTGTGTTTGTATAATTTATTATAATTAGGATAAGAGTGGCAGGATCTCATTGATAAAAGCACTGAAAAAGCACAGTGCTAAGAAAGGCACAAGAACACCTAGAGATGGTGACTTGAGGAGGGAGGTGTCTATTATCCCTAATGGTTAGCAATTATTCTTCTCAACTAATGCAGCCTGGAACAGGGGTGGTGGAGGCTAAGTCAGTTGCCGGTCTGAAAAACAGGTCTGCTGACCTATTGCAAACATCTGTACCTCTTCCAGATGGCTTTCGAGGTGATCTCTACCTAACCATCAAGTTACTCTTGCCTGGAGTCATTAAAAGTGTTTACAATTTGAATGACAAGCAGATTGTCAAGCTCTTCAGTAGGATATTCAACTGCAGCCAGGAAGACATGGTCCGAGACCTTGAGCAGGTGGGCAAAAAGGAGTCAGATTTTTGGTAGACAGTACTCCTCTACACAGCATGCCTCTTTCTCTAAGTGGTTGAGCACCACAATTATGGTCATAAGTCTGGAAAGTCAAGAAGTGAGTCACGTGACCAGTTCCAGGTTTACAACCTTTTTTGCAACCATTGTTAAGCAAATGCAGTAATTGTTAAGCAAACCCAGTGTTTACCTTGGGGCAATTTTTGCCAGAAACCAGAAGAAAACATGGTTTTTGGCAAAAACATTATAAAACAATCACATGATTCGGAGAGTATCAGAACTTTGAAACTGGGTAAGTAACTTTTGTGGGCAGGGATCATCATAACTGCAAAGTCACTAAGTGACTGGTAGTAAGTCAAGGACTACAGTACCTATAAGTACAATTTACTGACAATTTGTGTAGATACTCTAGGGTTGCATCCATTGCTTTTCCAGATCACAGGTTGAACTTTTCTATTGGTTTATACTTTGATGGCTGATGTCAAAGATCCCCGAGGCTTTCCTGATTAAAATTAATTTATTATTGTCATTTATAATTACAATTTATTACAATTACAAGCCAAACATTCCTCTGCCTGTAGCAGTGCTCTTTGTAGCTGTTTCTTCTTGTATCGTAAATCAGGGTGATGTTTCAGAAACCGTGCGGATCTTTTTTGAGCAAAGCAGGTCTTGCCCTCCTGCTGCCAAGAGCCTTTTGACAATCCAGGAAGTAGATGAGTTCCTGACACAGCTATCGAAACTTTCCAAAGAAGAGGAGCAGCAGAACCTATTGCAAGAAATTGCATCGAGGTAGAAAAAGGAAATATTTATGAATTTTGAAGTGGGGGGGGGGTGTCAGATTGGAATAGGTAGGCATGCTCAGATGTCTGCTCAGAGATTGGTTAATGCTTCCAAAGACTAAGAGGTTCTGCTCCTATTCCCTGCAAAAGAGGTCCTATTTGGGAGTAGCATAAATATACCCCCAAAATACACAAAACTAGAGGCCCAGCTTTGTATTAATGTAGGTATATTGCATTTGTATCCCTTTTTGTTTTCAGGTGCACCGCTAATGACCTGAAGTGCATCATTCGACTGATTAAACACGACTTGAAAATGAATGCTGGCGCAAAACACGTGTAAGCTGAGATCAGGTTGAGGAGAATGTCAGAAATCTAAAAGCAGAACATGTTAGCAGTATTAGTAAGGAAATTAGATAATTAGATAGGTCTACTAATTAGTTCCAAGACCCTTTGAACTCTGATTGTCAGTCACAAGAAAGATATTCCTTTCAGATATGGTCCGATGACTTCCTAGACTCCATGGTGACCTTGCAAAGGTTTTTTTTAATTAAAAGAGTGATTATTACTTTTCTTTAAAGGCAAAGGTACTAAACATTGGGTGCCTTGAAGGTGTCTTGAAGGGATAGCTCTCAAGAAATCTCTCTCATAAAGATTCTGTTGTCTAGCTGCACGTAGCCGTGGTGGTGCAGTGGTTAGAATGCAGTACTGCAGGCTACTTCTGCTGACTGCTGGCTGCCTGTAGTTTGGTGATTCTATTCTCACCGGCTCAGGATTGACTCAGCCTTCCATCCTTCCAAAGTCGGTATGAGGATCCGAATCGTTGGGGGCAATATGCTGACTCTGTGAACGGCTTAGAGAGGGCTGTAAACCCCTGTGAAGCGGTATATAAGTCTAAGTGCTATTGCTACTATAAATCGTCACCCCAACTAAACATCAACCCTAATAGCATCTTCAGATACTATTAAACAAACTTCCCATCAGCCCTCGTCAACATTGCTAATAATTGGAAGGTAAATTCAAGATATTTAGAGAGATGCAACTTGGAGAAAATTGTCTTAACCAAACTGATGGAATCTAGAATTAGTTATTTTCTTTAAATTTGTTGATATATCTGTTCTTTAGATTTAAATCCTGCCCTTCTTCCCGAAAGCCACGGCAGCCCATAAGCAGGTCCTCCTATTTTTCTCTCCATAATAGCATCCCTTTAGGATAGGTGGGTGGGGATGGACTTGACCTTGAGGCTCTCCAATCTTTTTCCAGCTATAACCACATTCATCCTTTTCTAAAAAAATAATTATCCTGTTCTTTTCCTATATAGACTTGATGCATTGGATCCCAATGCTTATGAGGCTTTCAAAGCATCCCGAAACCTCCATGATGTTGTGGAGAGAGTGCTGAAGAACCAGCAAGAATCTCAGCCAGGCATGAAGAAAATTCTTAGTGTCCAGGCAGCCCTGATGACCCCAGTTCAGCCCATGCTGGTAAGGAACAGCTGGGGTCTGCAGAGATACGGTTTTTCTCAGTTGCAGCACCAGGCTCTGTAACAATCTCTTTGTCTGCCTGTGTCACCCTGTTATGTTCAGGTTTTATTGTTAGTTAGAAAAGTATGTATTTAAGCATTTATTTATTTATAGTCTTCCTTTTTTCTGAGAGCAGAAAGGGGAGGGGGCTCTAAAAGGTCCTCTGATTTTATCCCAACATCTGCCTTGTGAATTAGGTTGAGTTGAGAGAAAGGGATTGGGCAAAGTTGCCCAGTATGCAGTGTAGTTGGTGACTAGTTAAGCTAAGTCTCAATTGTCCAAGCTTAATATCTTATTAATGTTTGCTTTATTCTTTTATTTACTTGAATTGTGTCCATCCCTCAGCATTTACGAAGCAGCTGTAGAATACAATGAAATCTGCAGTATAAAAAAAACAAGGATAAAATCAAGAGTTCCATTGGTTTTTGTCAGCTTGTCTGCCCTAGTTGAGTACCCTTATACAGTCTTTTAACTATACATTTTCAAGAGCGTGTGGCCGTTGATGATACATTTCTAAGCCAGGGTCAAACTAAAGCTAATTTTCTTGCTGTTCTAAAAAATAAGGAAGCGTGGATGCTCTCCTCAAAATGTGTTTCCTAGAAAGCAAAAATCTTGTTGAACATTTGTATTGCTTTGTCATTCAGTCTACTTGGCACTGCTTACTTCTAAGTTATCTGTAGACTTAGCCTGACATTCTCCAAAAGCCCTTGTCTGCATATGTGAACTGTTTTCCCCTATCTGGCATCATTTATGAGACTGATTCTCCTCTCAGACATCAATTCAAAGTTCTCTAGATGAACTTTCATGCATGCAATCGTATAAAGGTTGAAAGGATTAGCCAGTGACATCACCGTTACCCTGGGGACACCCAGTTGGGGGCTCCTTTCATGTCCCCTGGAGGAGCTAGAGTGAAGGACAAGAGCTCAAACCCACCCTACAACAGCTCTCAGGTCTTGAATGTGGGCTTGGTAACCTCCTGCCCAGCATTCTAGCCATTCAAGCCATCGTGCTCCTTCAAGCTTGGCAACTTTAAGACATATAGACTTCAACTCCCAGAATTCCTCAGCCAGGATACTAGGAGCCGAAGTCCACCTGTCTTAAAGTTGCCAAGGCTACGAAACATTAGTATATGCCTGTTTCCATGTAAGCAAGAACCTGTTTATGCACCAGTCCATGACCCTGCTGGCCAGAGAATTATAGTCCAGGGCATCTGAGAGATGTTTAGTTTGAAAGGTTGTTGGGAATGGAGTTATGTCTAACTTGCCAGAAGGCAGCTGGTTGTTATAAGCTAAGAGTTTTAAACTGGATTTTTTCTCTCTCTTCCCTATTCTGTAAGGCTGAAGCTTGCAAATCGATTGAGTATGCCATGAAAAAGTGTCCCAATGGCATGTATGCAGAGATTAAGTATGATGGAGAGCGCGTCCAAGTGCACAAAAAGGGAGATCATTTCTGCTATTTTAGCCGCAGTCTGAAACCTGTTCTCCCTCATAAGGTTAGTGGGGTAGATGGGCTGCCACTGGGGAAAAGTATGGGTTCCTGGCTCCAGCTTAATCCATGTGGCTGGCATTCTTATCCTCAGCCACAGTGAAATCCAGTAGTATCAAAACTATAGTTTGGGACAGTGTGCTCTGTAGTTTGGTCAGGGAAAACAAGGAATTTTAATAGTTCCCAAGTGTATATTTGATTTACAGTGTTGTAAATGAAATGTTGACTTCACAGTCTCCTCAGCACTTTTGTGTTTAATTAGTGGAGCAGTCACGTGGGCAGTAACTTTTCCCCTTAACACGAACATGCCTAACCTTTTTTCTCCAGCATTTGTTTCACCCTGCTTTTCAGACTACAATCGTCTCCCAGGTAGATTTTTTCACGCTGCAACAAAAATAAAAGCCATCCCTATGAGTGAGATGAGCAGTACTTAAATTTGACAAATAAAATATAATAAAATAAAAAAAGGGTTGCAGAAGTAAGAAAAAAAAGAGATCGGGGGGAAAAAAGCAAGGAAAAGCAGCATCCTCATCTTGTTTGATCTAGTCGTTCTGGGAGTTGAAGTCCCCATATATGTTAAAGCTGCTGAGGTTGAGAAACACTGGGGAAGTCAAATCTTTTTGCTTTAAAAACCAGTTGACACCTAGTTCTTTGGGCAGCGGATGGATTGAGAAATTCACGTCATGTATTTGCTTGCTTGCATTTCATCAGGTGGCTCATTTTAAGGACTTCATCCCGAAGGCCTTTCCAGGAGGGCACAGTATGATCTTGGATGCTGAAGTTCTTCTGATTGACACCAAGATAGGGAAGCCTCTGCCTTTTGGGACGCTGGGAGTGCATAAGGTACATCAGAAGAAAGTCTCTTCCATCGCCAAAGAGATGATGTAATTCAGTAGTCCTCAACCTTTTCCTCACCACAGACGCCCTTTAAATACCTTTTGTGACCATGGCCACGGACCACCAAGACTTAACTCAAGATTTAAATCGTAACATTTCTCCAAGCCTTCGTTGACCCCCCTCCATGACATTTCCCCCCCCCAAGGTCCACAGACCACAGGTTGAGAATCACTGGTGTAATTTATAGCAAGCTTCCCAAAGATGCTTTTCCACGAGGCAACTGGACTTTCTTGTTTTTCTTTGAAGACGTTTTGCTTCTCATCCAAGAAACTTCTTGGATGAGAAGCGAAACGTCTTCAAAGAAAAACAAGAAAGTCCAGTTGCCTCGTGGAAAAGCATCTTTGGGATAACTATGACCTGGATGACTGAGAATCTCCATAGACTTATAGCAAGCTTCTTTTATAGAGCAGGGAGTGAAGAGCTTGTATTTAATACAAAGAATGCAATAATGAAAGGTGACAGCATTTTTAGCTGATGGGGAGGGAATGGAACCCAGCTTTCTCCAACATAGTTCTCCAGAGAGAATTCTCATCCCAAATTAGCAGACTATGGTCCAGTAGATTTATACTAAAAGACATTCTATAGAGCAGGGGTCCTCAACCTTGGCAACTTTAAGACTTGTGGACTTCAACTCCCAGAATTCCCCAGCCAGCAAAGCTGGCTGAGGAATTCTGGGAGTTGAAGTCCACAAGTCTTAAAGTTGCCAAGGTTGAGGACCCCTGCTATAGAGTAAGTAGACAGCGTTTTTTCCCTTTGTAATACTAGAACTGGGGTTATTTGGTTAAAAGTTAGACAAAATGGCCAGATTTCAGCATCACAGTTTCATGCCATGCAGAGTGGGGATATATTTTAAAGGGAGAAAATTGGTTTTCCCTCTCCAATTCAACTACTGTTTTTATAAAAATGCAAAACAAAAATGACCTGCAAGTGGTGTGCCAGAGGGCAACAAGTTATCTATCCCTGGCTTAGACTTTGTCCTTTGCCAGAATAGCAGAATAGGCTTGGTTGTTGCTGCTCATAAAATGATACCATGCACTCAATTTCAGCTTCTTCTTTTTCTTCTTCTTCTTTTTTTTTTTTTGCTGTCCCTTTGCAGAAAGCTGCTTTCCAGGATGCTAATGTTTGCCTTTTTGTCTTTGACTGCATCTACTTCAATGACGTCAGTCTGATGGACAGGTGGGTGCATAATGAGTGCCAGTCCTGTTCAGTAAGGTAGGCCCAGCAGAGCCCTGTGTAACTAGCATTGTTTCTTGTATCAGCCTGAATCTGAGCAAAGAAGAAAACTATGGCCTACACTTTTTGGTTGCCAAGAGTGGGTCTCTGCTCCATGAAAATCTGTGCTGGATTACATGCACCCTCTATGTTTAAACTGATTCTCCACAAAGTATAACAGAATGTGTGAATGACCTTGGGGGACAAGGAGAGATACTATCTAGGAAACAATCAGATAAGAGAGGCAGGAGCCCCCAGTGGCTTAATAGTGGGAGAAACTTAAAAAGGACCTGTCTTAATGGATCAATTAATAGCGGTGGTGGGAAGTATGCACCTTCAGACTTTGCAAGATTCTGTTAATGTGATCTTGCAATAAAGTAGAATTAGCTCATCGAATCATGTTTTCTGTCTGGTTTACTTGGGAGGGTTGACACAAAGCTCCAAACCTTAATCATGGTAACTATGTTCCCACAATCTACTTAAACAGCCTTAGATAAAAAACCTATCATTGCTTTCATAAAGCATTCTATAATGTGTACAGCTAAGTATCTACAAGCCTATCCTGATTGACTAATTGTTGCTTCAGTAGGCTGTGTGAATCTAGAAGATAGTTTAATTCAGTTAATTATGTTGTGTGACCATAGATGTAAGCTCCTTTGTGGTTGATTTGGGTTTTGCTTAAGGTATTATTCCAAATCCAGCCAGTTCTGCTTTCTAAGCCAGGATTTCTCACTTAGCAAGTGAATGGAAGGTGTTGCAAAGTGCAAGTCATACAGTTCTACGTCATCCTGACCTAAGACTTGCACTGAATCATCATTTCTTAACAAAGATCCTCTTCTCATCATTGCAAGAATCTGCTCTCTTTATTTAGAGTGACCTAGAGAAAGATTGACAGATCAAAACAGAGTTAATCACAAGCCACAGAGTCCTATGAAAACTATATTAGCTTAACCCTTTCTATGTAAAGGATACACTATCAGTTCATCTATGCTAGGCACCCACCACATGGTCCTGTGAGTTCATGCAAAAAAAAAGACCGTTGCTTGTGATAGAATGTAAAACGGGCAGAATATGGATGTTTAAATCTGCTATCCATGTAGATGGCCATGGAGAAGTCATAATAAAGATGTTAAGACAACCAAAGTCCATTTTCTTATTTGGTCTATCTCGTAAGGCTGATAAAGTCTGTGGACACCATAACTCCCAGAATTCCCAGTCATCACTCTGGGAAAATGTCCAATTGGAGATGAATATCTTTGGCCGTGCTCATCAAAGTATGCTCCGAAGTGCAGGATTTGTTTGACATTAGAATCATTAAAGGAACTTCTTCTCAGCCACATCTTTCTTCTGGTGATTTTGCCCATGTCTGTTTCCTTTAGGCCTCTGCGTGAGCGTCGCAAATTTCTCCATGATAACATGGTGGAAATTCCCAACCGAATTCTCTTTTCAGAGATGAAGCATGTCACAGTAGGTACCATTCTGGATGGCAAGAATGAGACTTGGAGAAGCTTAAAAATGTTCAGCAGAAAGTTCTTTGAATCTTCTGTACATGGATGAGTCATTGGATACTTAACTTTCTGTGTCTCAAAAAAAGTTTGTGTTTCTTCCCTGTCCTGATGCTATTTATTTATTTATTTATTTATTCATACATACATACATACATATATGCATACATACATACATACATGTATGCTGCCCATCTCATACAATGATTCTAGGTCACGTAACAAGTAATAACAGCACCCATCTTCCCAGGGGCCAGACCAGTTGTGAAGTGTTCTTTCTAGATTCTCCCGTACCGGGGTCCTATGTTCCATACAGCTCTTTTCATCTCCCAATCCATCTGGATAAATAGGCTTTAATGAGATGCTAACTCTTCCAGTTTTATAATTCATGAAAGGTATGTGTGCCATAGGAAGGCCAGGAACTTTCAAGCAAAATGAAATAGTGAATTGGCTGGCTTGTTGTCTGAAATAAAGGTGGATTAGATCTTCTGGATCCAATTAGATCTTCTGGATAAGATCTTCAGTCATGTTTAAATGTCCAATGGGATTGCTAATCTCAGTCCTGCCTTTATAACTTTCTTTTTTCTTTTCCAGAAAGCTTCGGACCTCGCCGACATGATCAACCGAGTCATCCGGGAAGGGCTGGAGGGATTAGTGCTGAAAGATGTGAAGGTATGCAAGCTGCTATTTTTGCTAGCCCACGTAGGCCAGCAGGCAACAAACTCTGCAAAACCAAAAAACTATAAATGAAAAGCAGTTGTGACTTCAGAAATATCCGTGCGCCCCCCCCCATATTAAAGTCTATTAGGCCTTGATAGATCTGTCCTCCCTGAACGTATCCAATTTCCTTTTGAAGCCATCCAGTCAGCAACCATCCATCTTACAATAATGAATTCCAGAGACTAAGCTTGTATGTTCTTTGTGAAAAACTTTTGTTCTAAATCAGCGGCCCCCAATTTTGGGGGCACCAGGGACCAGTTCCAGGGAGAGCAGTTGTTCCATGGACCTGGGGGACACGGGATAGTTGCTTATGCATATCTCTCAATATATTAAATAAACCATTAAGAAATATTAGATTAGGAAAGATATAAAATGGGTGGGAACTTACATAGTCACTAGAGTTAGAGTGGAATTGTGCAGTTTAAGACTCTGGGATTACTTGCCACTCTCAAAAAACCTCCCAGAGTTCCTGTAAAAGTTGCTGCTGAATTATAATTTTTGTTGTGATCAAGGAGAAAATTGGTAAAATTGTAATTATGAGAACCATGTTGAGTGTAATTTAGTGGAAATCAAGAGTTGTCCTCTGATCTGTCTTCCTCTTTATCTTTTGGAGTGTGCACACCTGCGACCCTTTATTTCCAAAGGTGGGATCTGCACTAAAGAAAATAGGACTGGCCTTTCCTCCTTGGAATCTATATGATTCCCTTTCTGCTTTTGTTTTGGCTAGAGCATTTATGAACCAGGAAAACGCCACTGGCTCAAAGTGAAGAAGGACTATCTGAATGAGGGAGCAATGGCAGACACAGCAGACCTGGTGGTTTTGGGTGCCTTCTATGGCCAGGGGAGCAAAGGTGGGTATTTGTAAAAGTCCAGACTGAGATCCAGAATCTTATTCTTTCTAGTTCATACTGACCTGCTGTAGTTCTCCAAGGCATTAGATGGGAGTTTTGAGATGCTTCCCAAGATGTTTGAACTTGGAAAGTTCTGCATCCAGATCAATAAAGAGCAGAAATACCCGTATTTATACTGAGGCAGTGTAATAATTGAGTCACTAACTATAGTTCTCCAGAATTTCAGATTGGAATCTCTATCCCAGTGTTTCTCAACCTTGGTAACTTTGAAAATTCCCAGAATTCTCCAGCCAGCCAGTGGGGAATTAAAGTCCCCACATCTTAAAGCTGCCAAGGTTGAAAAACACTGCTCTAGCTATTGACATTGGTTGGGAGTGGGAGGTTTTATATGCAGAGCACATGATTGATTATTAAACTATAGGATGTTCCATAACAAATAGTAAGATCTGATCTGATCCTCACTTCATAAACAAATGATTCGATTAGGAATCTCTCTCATAAGCCTACTTCTAACTTAATCATTTGCTTTGCTGTGGCTTTTCAGAGCCTCAGGCAGCCTTTCTCAAACTTAACCAAGGCTGAAATATCTGCAACAAAATCCAAAAGATAAGAAAACTTCACAATATAATCTACGTCTTGCCTACACCATCCATATTTTACAATAGCAAATTGTAAGGCTGGCAACTGCGTCAAGATCCTTAAAACTTCCCACGACTGTCAGGCTAACATTGCATGCGATGCAATGTTCAAAACCCAAAATTTTCAGGTTGTTTCAATTGCAGCCTCTCGGTGTTGTCGTGAGAAGAGATTCTAGAAGATAAAATAGATTTATTCCCCTCCTCCACCAGATTGCTACTCTCAGAAGAACAGCCTTCGAGTGCTGACTAGTGGGAAGCTCTTGGATGGAAAATCCCTATGGGAGGGGTGAGATGGAAGGAGAAGGAGGAATGCTTCCCCCTTTTGCCCAGGGTCATACTTGGTGACCGGAAAATGGCGTCTGCTCTTTGTCTGTCCGGCTACCGGCTGGCTTCAAGCCAACCTCGTGGCTGTGCTGTGATCGGCTGATCAGGCAGTAGAAAAGGAAAAGGAAAGTGAACCGCTGTTCGTTTTCTAGCAATTCCACCACCACCCCCCTTCGAATTAGTCAGAGTATCAAGAAATACGACCTTATCTTCAGGAGTCAATGAAATTCAGTCTAAACGGGCTCAAGACTAGTCTAGACTGGGAAAGGGAGGTCCCAGGAGGAGAGGCGGAGCAAAATTGGTCAACTAGTCTGCGGGCAGAAGACGAAATTAACCCATGAGTGGATTCTCCATTCGTCATGCTGAGAAAAGGCGTTCAGGTAAGACCAACGCCCCTTCCCCTCCTCCACCAGATTGCTACTTCTGTCTATTCTCATTTATTTAGGTGGGATGATGTCCATCTTCCTCATGGGTTGTTACGATCCTGACAGCCAGAAGTGGTGCACAGTGACCAAATGTGCTGGCGGACATGATGATGCCACACTTGCTCGGCTGCAGAAAGAACTGGACATGGTGAAAATCAGCAAGGTTTGTGTTTAAAAGGCTTTGTGGCTCACTGTGATTCTTGTCTTGCAGGGAAATGACAACATTCTTGCTGTAATTTGAAATATTGAAGCTAAGACTGATTTTTTTTATCATTAAGCTTCTCCATGATTGAGTTTAATGCTAAAGATGAAGATCTAGTTTCTTTTGCTCATTTGCTCATTTGCACAAATAGTACATTTAGATGATCCTCCAAATCTGGATTTTTAAAGTTCATGGAGGGGCCGAGCTCCTTTCTCTATATCTCTGCATTTAAAGGAATATCAAATGCTGTTTTACTATAATTTTGTCCTAATTGAGTACAACTCAGATTTGTGGAAAGTGGAATAAATAGAGAAGAGATGCAGAAGACTAAGGGTTGCTCCTTCTCATTCCTATTTATTGTTATATTGAAACTGAATTATTCTTCCAATCATTTCATCTCTTTCTCTAGTAAGACTAATGCTGGGTTAAGATAGGGCCTGGCCTATGATAATGTACTTACCTATACTAAAATAAAACTTACTTGCAATGTTTGTATATTGTCCCTATTATAGAACTCCATAAAGCAATTGAAATTATAAAATAATTTATAGTTTCCCACAATCACAACAACCAAAGTCCTGTTGAAATAATCTTCTATTGTTTGGTTTTTGCTTAATATGTTGTACAGGTATAACAATTTGTAAATCACGATCTCTGACGATAGGAAGTTCTATTATTGTGACACTAGCAAATCATGATTAGATCATGATCCATGGATCCAGTTCCAGCACAGTGTGTATACCCAATTACTCAAAATCTTGATGGTGTTAGAGAAGCTTGAAACTATTATTTGATTGATCCTACTTTCTCAGTCTCAGATTGTACTGCTTCATTGTCACTGCCTCATTTAAGCCAGATACTAGTAGCTAATTTGGAAGAAACCTAGAATAACCTTTTTTAAAGACTTAAAATCACAGCTGGGGCCAGAATTTCTGTTGCTAAGCAAGGCAGTTCTTAAACGTGTCACACCTGATTTTGCCACGGCAAAATGAATCACTGCAGTTGTTAAAATGAATCCGGNGTACTGCTTCATTGTCACTGCCTCATTTAAGCCAGATACTAGTAGCTAATTTGGAAGAAACCTAGAATAACCTTTTTTAAAGACTTAAAATCACAGCTGGGGCCAGAATTTCTGTTGCTAAGCAAGGCAGTTCTTAAACGTGTCACACCTGATTTTGCCACGGCAAAATGAATCACTGCAGTTGTTAAAATGAATCCGGCTTTTCCCATTAATTTTGCTTGTCGGAAGCTAGCTGGGAAAGTTGCAAATGATCACATGACCCTGGGGTGTTGAATCATTGTAAATATATACTAGTCGCCAAGCACCTAAATTTTGATCATATGACTGAGGGGATGCTGCAATTGTTGTAAGTGCAAGAACTGGATGTAACTCGCTTTTTTCACTGCTGTGGTAACTTCGAACAGTCACTAAATAAATGGCTGTAAATCAAGAACTACTTTATTCTAATCTGAAATAACTTCAGAAGTTTGCTGATCAGCCAAGTTTCTAGGATGCTTGAACACAGACACTTGGTTCAATCTCTCTGGAGGATGGCAGCCCTATTCAGTTTACCTTGCTCTAAACTAAGTTTTTTATCTCTTTGGAATTATTCAGGTATTAATTGCTCACTTGTGGACAGTTTCTCTGTCAAAGCTTTGAAAACTGCAGTGCAATGCAATTTTCTTAGATATTTGGGGACCATTTATTCCTTTAATCATTATTAAAGTGTTTCCCATCCCATAATAATGGGCTAAATTGATGGGTGCCTTTTTTTCTTCCGTTGTCTAGGATCCCAGTAAAATTCCAGATTGGTTAAAGATTAATAAGAATTATTATCCGGATTTCATTGTTCCAGACCCAAAGGTAAAATGTCTCATGGGAGGGGGTGTTTCCCATGCAAAAGTGGTTTCTCTGCCATGAACCCTTCCCGGAAGAGGCACTTTTAAGCACTTTGCAGGCATCTGATGCAGCAGAATTGCTGAAATCAGCCTGGATATAATCAATCCCATGGAAGAAAATCCACTAGATGGCCACTGCAATCCAGGAAAGGACCTTTGTTCTTTCACATTTTTCCTGTTATTTCATTTTGTTTACAAAGTTCATCTTCTCTCCAAATTATGGAGAAAATTTAGAGAGCACTGTGTAACCAAAATACCTCTCCAGATTTCTAAATGTGTAGGCAGAGAAATCATGGAAGAATGCTAGTAGCAGATACAAACCAATCCATTTATGAAAATCCAGGAACAGTGGGCATATGAAACTGGACCTTGTAGAAGTTATTGTACATTGATATACATTCATACAGCTTATACAGCCATACGGATTAGAAATGAAAACAAAAATTAGAATGAAATTGAGCAAGTTTTGCACTGCAGTATTCTGGACCAGATTCACACTCTAGGCAAAAATTTTATTAAAGGCGTTTATCTACTAGATCAGGCATGTCAAACTTGTGACGTCGCGCGACGTCTCGGAGCTTTTTCGCCATTGCCGGCAATGGGGTGAGCATTGCTTCGGTATGAAACCAGCCCGCGGGCCGGCAGTTTAATACCCCTGTACTAGATGCTGCCTTGAGATATTCAAGAAGAGACAGATAACCTTCTGTTTAGAATATTTTACTTTGGACTTAATACACTAAATGTCCTTTGGTACACTGCTAGGATTATGCAAAAAATCAGTCCAAGATAATTCAGTTGAATGTCCTGATGAAAAAAACTTTCTGAACTGATTAGAGCGAAATTGGATGCTTCCAAAATGATCCATTATTTTAATGGCATAAAGAGGGTCTTTTGCCAAACAAATCAATAACTTGGATTAATTTGGTTATTAATTTGGGACTTTGCATGGATTCTTCTGATTGGCTACGTTATTTAATATGATAGTTCAAATTAATCACATACAATCCAAAACGCTCAGTTTTGTGTCTGCCTCTTAAAATTATGGAAAAACAAAAAAGTGTATGGAATAGATGGAGCACGATTACTCATGGCTCCTGTAGAAGAAAATATATATGTAGCTTATTATTAAATTGTTGAGTCCTTGGCGCTTTCTGAGCTTGGTTATTTGCTTGCAAACATTTCATTATCCACCTAGGTGATATCAGTGATGTTATCTAGGTGGATAATGAAACTTCTGCAAGTAAACAATCAAGCTCAGAGAGCACCAAGAACTCCACATTATTCAGGGTGCTTGCATACAGTACTCCCTCTCTTGGTTCATTGGCAAGGAGGATTTTTTCCCAATCGTTATCATTTATCTTAGGCAGCACCAGTCTGGGAAATCACAGGTGCTGAATTCTCTAAAGCAGAGGCCCACACTGCTGATGGTATCTCAATCCGCTTCCCCCGGTGTACTCGTATCCGGGATGACAAAGATTGGACTACGTCCACTACCCTCCCACAACTCAGGGTGAGTCATTTATTTTACAGATATAGCCACCCTATATATTCTGAACATACCATACTGACATCTGTATCTATGAAATATAATTCTCAGCATTGTGTGTGTGTGTGTGTGTGTCCCAGCTCTCCTCCTTCATCTTAACATTCAGTCTTCCTGTCAATCTGCTATGTAGCAGCACACAATTCATCTTTCCTGTTGCTTCTCATCAGTCATTGAGAACTTCTCCACTACTCCCATTATCTCAGGGTACCTTTTTAAAAAGAATCCCCATCTCCTGAATCCCTTGCTTAGTCAGTATAGTTATAAGATACTTTCATTTTTCAGTGGCCATGCTAAGGATAAGGAACAGGAAAGGGAGCATTGTTAAGTGTTCTTAGCCATGAAATGTAGGAATGAATCTCTTGGTAGGTTTCTGGTTTCCTCATAGGGCAAAGACTTCTGCCCTCTTAAGTTGCACTGGTGAATTCTTTGAAAAGCATATGGGTGACAACACAGGGTAACGGGATCCAGAGTTAGTGGATCAATCTGATTCACATCTGAACTTGTAGACCAACTTTTGTCCAACCTTCACTTAGGATAATTCAAACCCATCTATCTGGAAGAGGCTGGCTTGAATGAAAGCATCTAAATTCTATTTCAAGAGAAAATAGTCAATGATAATTAAAAAGTTAGTATGTACACACTGAGGAAAAGACAACAAATTGAGGCTTTTGATAACCCGACTTCTCATCCACATTAAGTTGGATTCTGTGCCATTTGTTACCCAGATGTTCCATTGGGAATAATTTACCAGTTGCCTATTGTCCTGTTTGTTCCAGAAGAATCTGAATTGTACCTTGCAGATAGAAGTGAGAAGTTATAGAAGGACTTGCTATAAAGTTTTTTTCTCCCACTTCATGGAACTCTCTGGCTTTTGTGGGCAGGAGCTGTACCAGGTATCTAAAGAAAAATCGGACTTCTTGGTAGTTGCTGCAGAAGAGGAGACCTCCACAGCGGGCAGCAGCGGAGAGACTGAAGGCCAGCCCAAGTTATCTTCTCCTCAGAAGGCAGCAAAACAGCATTCCAGGAAGTCCCCTGCGAAAGCCAAGAAGCCTGAAGGTGAGCAGTGGAGAAAAGGCATTAAAAATTCTCCAGGGATCCATTTCTACTTTTCCCCCAGTTAGATTTCTTCTAGTAAGATCTTGTTCTGTAGAGAGCTCAGAGAGGATTATGGTTGAGAGGACCAGAACTTTTAGAATAATTGCTGTGTACCCCATGTGCACAGTGATTTTCTCCAGAAACCTAACACTGCAACACCTTCCGTCCAATTTAAACATGTTTTTCATGGCTATTATTTATATTGTCAGTTGCTTGATACTTAGCTAATCTATTAAATCAGTGATGATAAAGGTATTGTTTTAGTACGTTTGTGAGGTTAATTATTGTTGTCTATTTCGGAAGCTTTAAAATGCTTTAGGGCTGTTCCCCGTCTTCAACAATGACAGTTCACTTCTCATGTGCAACTTTGCTCCATTGGAAACTGAATCAAGCGCTGTTTTGATTTGTGCCACCAATGTTCAAAATGCTCTTGGGTATAATATAAAGATGGGGTTTTCTTCAGGTTGATTTTGGTGGTCAGTGTGAGAAGGTACATACAGCATTCCAGTCATTTCAGAAACAATTACCTGCAACCAACTTTGAATCTTACGATGAAGCAAGCTATAAAATCAGGACTAAAACCTTTATTTTCAAATATAATGTCAGTCAGCAGGAATGGCTGCAGAGCCTGTCTGAAGGTGTCCTCTGCCTATATTTGCATAGGCAGGATTGTCTTTCTTACATGAATCCATTCATTGTTTTTTGCCATCTCCTTAGTACTGATGTAGAATTTTTTTTTTCTCATTAGCCAGCAAACTAGTAGATAAATCTCCACTGAAGAAAACTGAGGGAAAGCGAGCAGAAAAAAGAAAAGCACCTGAGATGGAGGGGGACAAAAGAAAGGTAAGAATCTCAATGTAAACAAATTTGAAAATTCTGTGAACCTCCTTGTCATCTATACTATACATTCTAAGCTTTTTATAAGGATGGAGAACTGAATTTCATGCCCCAAGTAAATGTTATTACTTGAGCCTGTTCCAGTTCCCAAGCATTTCACATTATAGGTAGTCCTCAACTTGCTGCCACAATTGGGACCAGAATCTCAAGTTGTTGAGCAAAACAGTCATTAAGTCAGACGTCATGTAACCGCTTTGCTCAATAACCACAATCCTGGTACTCCCACTCGTGGTCATAAACAATCTCTCAGTTGGTAAGTAGAGTCTGAGGTAAGGAGCATGTGGGTATCTGAGGGGATTAGATCAGGTGCTGGGAGCCTGGTACAGGCTTCAGGGCCCACCAGCATGTGGAAACCTATCATGGCTACTCCCCACCAGATCCAGGATGCCTACCATGTTTCCCCAAAAATAAGACCCAGTCTTTTTTTTTCCCCTCCAAAAGAGGCACCAGGTCTTATTTTCCGGGGGGGGGGGTTTCCACTCATCTCGCAGCGGTGGCACCGACAGCCCCACCAACCCCGCCCACGTCTTCTGCAGCCAAAGGAGCAGCTTCATTCTGCAGCTGAGAATGGAGCTCAGGCCTGCATTTCACCATCAGAGGCCTACATAACTCTGTTCTCGGCTGCAGAGGCCTTCTGGAAAGGCCTCTGGCAGCTAAATGCAGGCCCGAGCTCCATTCTCAGCTGCAGAATGAAGCTGCTCCTTGGGCCACAGAAGAAGTGGACCAGCGAGGCAAGTGTCAATCCACGGGGGGGGGGGGGTCTGGCTGTAATGGTAAGCTCCAACCCTGCCCTAGCTTGATTTTTAGGCATGCACCTCGTCCCAAAACTAGGGCTTATTTTTGGGGTAGGGCTTACATTAGGCTCACCCCTCAAAAATTGTAACCAGTCAAGGCCTCCTAGGCCTGGTGAGCGGGGAGCAGGCTTGGGCCTCCTGGGAGTGATGAGGTGGAGAGCAGGACTGCAGCAGCTTTGCATGCACGGGTGGGCAGGTGAGATGGGGAAAGAGATAACTGGGTGAGGAGAGGTGCAGCGTCCCTGCAATCATAGTGTGGGCAGATAGCCAAGCATCTGAATTTTCACCATGGGGGAGCTGCAATGGCTGTAAATTTGGGTACAAGTCATTAAGTCCATTCAGTATCATCGTAATTTCAAACAGTTGCTGAACGAATGGTTGTAAATTGAGGACGACCTATAGTAGTCCATCTGCATTTTCAAAGTTCTCTTTAGCTTCAGTTATTTTTGGGGGAAATACAGGCTGCATTACAGAAATTGTAATTGTTCTGGAGAAGAGTCAGACAGTATTGTCTGATCAGCATTATTTGGCTAATGTAACTGAATTGCATTTCTCATGTAAAAGATAATCTGTTGCCAATCACCAACTGAGGATATGCTGAGAATAGAGCTGAAAGCTTCCCAGAAAGCTTTCTAACTACTTCTCCTTCCTCCTTGTTAAAAACAATATTGAACTAAATACTCTCAGCAAGGGAGTTTTGTTGAATTTTTCAAGCACCCTGTGCCCATCACAGAACTAACTCAATGAGTTCTTCAGCACAACTATTATTTTCCTTACAGAGAAGCTGAATTGGAGAGCTAGCAGAGCAGTTCTCTCTTGTGCAAAGGAAGTGCAGTGAGGACACCAAGCCCTATTTGAGACCCAGTAGCATACTCTCAAAACACCATCAGATTTAGCCATTAAATGTCTGTAGTAAACCGGACTGTTCTACTCCTATTCACAAATTTTAAAAGCTTTTCACTTAAAAAAAAAAAAAGCACAAAAAACCTGGTTGGCTGATTAATTTGAATTTTGGTAGCTTTGCACTCCTGTATGAGTGCATCCCCTCACCCCTGGCTATAGAAACGTCCTCTGGGATGTGGGAAGAGAGCAGGAAAAGACACTGGATGCAACCATTTCACATTTTAGCAAGCATCCTGGGAACACATTTGCAACCTTGATTGCTATTGCCAGAAGGGCGGTTCTCCATTTGATGAGGGTGAGGGCTGTTTATTTTTTTCCCTAGTGGCTGTCACAGATCATCAATGCATTACAAATTGGGTTCTCGTTTACTATTTCCTTGAACTTACTTCTCTTGAAGTAAAGCAAGGTTCCTGAATTATTCTACTGCTCTTTTTTATTCTGTTTCCTAAGTAGCTACAGAACTAAATTTTGTCACTAACTGCATTCACACATAAATATCATCGCCTCACTAAAATAATCTATTTTCTGGGCTCACACAGCACATTTGACCAAACACGGGTAGTCCTCAATTTACAACCATTCATTTAGTGATCATTTGGAGTTACAATGGCATTGGAAAAAAAGTGAATTATAACTGTTTTTCACAGGACCATTGCAGCATTCCCGTGGTCACATGATCAAAATTCAGACGCTTGGCTACTGGCATTTATTTGTAACGGTTGCAGTGTCCTGGAGTCATGTGACCATCTTTTGTGACCTTCTGACAAGCAAAGTCAAGATTAACTTAACTGTTATTAGCAATTGCAGTGATTCACTTAGCAACTGTGGCAAGTGAGATCATAAAATGGGACAAAACTCACTTGTTTAGCAACAGAAATTTTGAGCTCAATTCTGGTCGTAAGTCAAGGACTACTTGTAGTCTCCGTTCCCACAGCATACAAAGCGAGAAAAAAGCCCGAAGATAATTCTAATGTTGCGGCATATTCCACAGACCCGGTTAAGCATCTTGTGTAAACACAGCCCCTAAATGCTGAAGTACATTTCTCTTAATGAAAGCTGTTACCATAGATTGCAACAGCCCTGTTTCCTTCTGAATTAAAACCTTTTAAAAACATAATTCTCATTGACTGTTCATCATCCTCTTGTGTGTTTCCTACCTCAAAACAGCAGCTGCTACTGGACATATTTACTGGGGTTAAGCTTTATCTTCCTCCTTCCGTGGAGGGTTTCAGGAAACTCAAGCGTTATTTCGTAGCCTATAATGGAGACCTGGTTCAAGAGTATGATGCCACTTCAGCAACACATGTGATGGAGAGGATGGAAGACAACCCAGCTGCTAAGCATGTGTCCCCTGAGTGGATTTGGGAATGCATTCGAAAGAGAAGACTGGTGACTCCATGCTAGATTATCTGTTGTAAGCAAATAGCTCCCGTGGAAAAAAAATTAGATTTAGAGACTCAATTGCATCCATTAAATGAGCACCATCTGGAATGAATTAAGTACCTAATGAAAAACTGACTTTACAGCAAGCAATTTAAAATATTTCCAACTAGTTTTTAATGTCTTAAGGTTTTTTTTTAATGAAAAATAGGAATAAAACTTTATCTGGAACCTCCCTTTCCTAATTTTCACTCAGTGATAGCACCAATGTTGTCTAGTTGGGTGATGAAACGTCTGCAAGAAAACAATCAAGCTTAGAGAACACCAAGGACCCCACATATCACTCGGTTGTGCCATAAATCAGTTCTTCATAACAGAATGTTGTGCAGAAATTTTGTACATAACTTTTTAAAGATCAATTTGGCACTACATAACCATTTGTGTCTAGTTCGTTTCTATTTCTCAGCCCTTCACTACTTGACAGTATTTTATCCTTCTTTGTGTCTGGAAGTTTTTAGAGAAGTTACTAGCATGCATTTGTTATGTTTTGTTTGAAATGAAACACTGCTTATTTTTGATAGAACATTTAATGGATGGTCTCATTACCAGATGGATTTGCAGGGTTGAACTGCCATACCTGGCACATGATCTTTAACAGTACTATGTTAATCTGGAATATGGTGTCCAGTGGGGTATCTCAGGGTTCTGTCCTGGGTCTAATGCTCAATATTTCCATAAATGACTTTGATAAAATGACAGAAGGGATGCTTATCAAATTTGAGGTAACACAAAAGCCAGAGGAGATTTCTAACCCTCAGAAGACAGGTTCAAGGTTCATAAGGAAACCGATAGACTTGAAGATAGGGCCCTAGCCAACGAAATGCAGTTCAATGCCAAGATATGTAGATAGTCCCTGGTTAATGAACCTAATTAGAACTTCTCTCACTGAGCAAAGCAGTTGTTAGGTGAAACAGCATGTGACTACACCACTTTGCAATGGTAGTTCTGGCAGTCCCAGCTGTGTTTGTTAGGCAAGAACCTCACACTTGTCTTGCCATGTGCGAACTGCAGGCGTCATCCTGCTGCCTCTTCCCCAGTTGGGTTCAGTGAGCTCCGTTCTACAGATGAGTCTCTGCTGCCCTACCAAACTCACCTCTCCTTCAACTCCCCACATCTCTCTGCCATCTCTGGCTTTTGACCATCCTGCACCCTGCTGCTACCTATCCTTACCTCCCTCGGCTGACCTTCACTGTCTTCTTCCTCCCTCTGCTGATGTGGCAGGCTCGGCAAAGACAGCTGCTGGCTCTTTTGTGACACCTCGCGGGGGCAGCAGAGTGGAGGGCACCCAAAAGGGCAGAGATGAGGGAGGTGGTGGATGGAAGGAGTCAAAGCATACATTGCAATCATAAGTGCAGCTGGGCTGCCGAGAGGCTGAATTTTGATCACGTAACTCCAGAAATGCTGTACTGGTCTTAATTTCGAGGACTAGTTGTAGCTACCATTTGTTTGGCACAATGATAACTTCAAATGGTCACTGAACGCATGGTTAAGTGAGGGCTATCTGTGTAGGGTTCTAGACTTAGGAAAAACACATGCATAGGTACAAAATAGCTGGTACCTGGTTCAGCAGTAGTACCTGTGAGAAGGGTCTCAGAGTCCTGGTAGACAGCAGGTTAAACAAGAGCCAACAGCAGTGTGTTTAGCTGCTGAAAGTGCTAATACACATTTGGGCTTCATCCTCAGAGGTACAGTGTCAAAATCACTGGACATAAGTACTCTACTCGATGCTGCATTGGTGAGACCACACCTGAAATACTGCACTGAATTCTATCATAATCCAAGAAGGATACTGAGAAACTGAAATGGTGCAGAGAAAAGCAACCGAGATAATGGTCTTGGAAACTAAATCCAGTGAAGAATGTTTACAGGAACTGGGTATGTTCAACCTAAAGAAGAAAAGACTAAAGGGAGACATGATACCAGTCTTATACAATATTGTCTCAGGGAAGACAGTGTGGGTTTATTCTCTGGAGCTCCCATGGCTAGCACAAAAACCAATGAATGGAAGATTTCAGAGGGAGAGCTGAACTCAAAATAAGGAAGAATTTCCTGACTTGAGAGCCCTTAAGCAGTGGGACAGATTACTTTAACATTTTTCATGGGAATTCACATTCACCAGTCATACACACTGATAATTAAAACTGAAATGTTTTGTAGGAGTTGTGAAATCTTCTGAACTGAAAACCAAACATTGGTGATTTTTTCCTCCAAATTTAGGACAAAATGGAGCATTTCAATCCGTAGTGTTTTGAGCATTCTGTGATAAATAATGGAACTCAAAACAAGGTTTAGCTTTTCAATTGAGGGTCACAAGCGTGAGATGGTACTATAACCTCAAGAAGGAAAAATGACCAAGGGGAATTTTAAATTGCTCATTGCAATAGAAAGAAAGAACAGGTAAGTGAAGGGTTGAATGCTCGTTGGAGTTTCATTTACACTGCAAACACAACAGGCTCTGGTTCAAACTGTTATGCCATCAAGACATAGTCAGACAAAAGGATAGGTTTCCAGTTTTCATTAGTTTTCATTATCAGCCTAAACAATATTTTGCCAAGTATCAAGTAACTCATGTTAAACCTGAAACATATTCTGTTAAAAAGAAAAGAGGAGCGTAAGTTAATAACATGTTTCCATTTTATTATAAAATTATAAAGCAGGACTCTGTGCTAGTGAGACCTGTTGAAACACAGTTTTCTCATAGTCAAAATTAACTTTCCCACTGTTCAGACAAGCATACATTGCTATATTAATTTTTCTGGCAGAACAACAGAAATTCTCCACAGCTTAGTGCAGCAGCAGCAGTCTGTTACTCACAAAGCAGCATCACTATGGAGAAGGTTTCACTTCACCAAAATTCAAATCACAGTCATGGAAAAATATCAAATTTTGAATCAAAATAGGGTGGCAATGGGAACTTCATTACACAAGTGATACCAAGAAAGAAAGAAACACGCTACTTGTTTTACCCAGTATTGGAACACTATTGCCATCCCAACTCTTTTTTTTTTCATGAGTGGGGAAGATCAGAGTAGCCCAAAGCTTTGGGAAGAGCAGCCATGTCTAACTTGTCAAGTCACCACCCCAGTTCACATTGAATTTTACAACAAGTAGACTTGGGTATTTTCCTTCTTCAGTTTCCTACCTCTTCTTCCCCAACTATTACCCGTACCAGCAATTTTCTTTTATGCATGATCAACAACTGATGTTCACAATGTTCACTGACTATATATGCTCCTTTATTCATTTACATGCCCCTTGTTGGAATGTAAAATGAAAAAAGTCCTTCCTAAGAGGGAAAATGAAATTTAAGAGCAAAACAGCAATTCTAACATTAACTGAAGTTTTAACATTTCCTATATGAAAAAAAAAATCCTTCTATCATCCACCACCCCCAAGAAATGGGTTACAAATTGTTCCCAACATTGGCTTTATATAGAGCCAATCCATGTTCTTTAGAAATGCACCAAAGCCCCCCCCCCCCAAAAAAAAGCTGTTTTACTATCCACAATTAGATAATAGTTGCACAGGATACAGATATACATGTAGGGATTATATCTTGCAAATTGTTATCAAAAGCATTTACCAAAAATCAGATGGAACGGGGGTTAACAAGGACCAGGGCTAATGTGCCAGGCATTTGGGATATTGCCATGTCCAATAGTGCAATTTTGAGGCTAGGTCTTTGGAAATCATAACAAAGGGTAAGGTAATATATGCTGCATGTGCAAACTGATTTCTAAAAAAACCAGACTCTTTTGAATGCCTGTGGAATTCAATGGGAGAAGGAGAGGAGAGATTTGTGATGCAACCTTTACACAATAAAACCTATCTACCCATCGATGCAACCTATAAACAAACTGCCTAAGTTCCTCTTATTTTACACAATCTCAGAACTTAAGGCAGGGATAGTGCACTTCCTATGTTCTGAAATACAGTTCCCTTGCTGCTATGGCTAAAAGAATTGCAGTACAAAACATCTGGAGGAATCAGATTGTGTACTGTTGGATTAAGGCAAATTAAGGCATCTTCAACTTGCAAGGCATTTAGCAATTTGGGAAACAGCCAGAATTTGATAAAGCACTTTGGCGGAGTGGGAATTAAGACACAATAGTGAAGGAAGCAGCTGATATGAAAGTGTCACATTTCTTAAGGCTTTCATACAACACAGAGAGAAAAACTGTCTTTCTGAAATGCCCTTGGAAGAAGATAGTATGTAAACAACTAAATGGTTCCCCTGGATTTCTTCCAAACCATTTTTTTTAGAATTACTGATTACCTTTTTCCATGGTTCTTCCTAAAACAGTCCTCTCCATCAGTTGTAAAAGTAGGATTCAGTCCAAGATTCATGGGAATTCATGAACTGCAGTCTGATAGCTAAACACATTTGCGTAGTCGCCCAAAAAATGGTTTCAGAAGAACATGGCAAAAGGGCCTCTATCTTCAACAGCCTCCCCTTTGCTAATGAAAAGACCCATTCTGACCTCGTGTATCTTCACTTCAGTGTTTCACTGAGTGACTAAAGAACAGAAGATTTTTTTTTACAATAGAAGCAAATGAAATGCCAATACTTGGCATTTAAAGGCAAAATACATACTTCAAAAAAATCAAGTCGTTGAACTTCTACAGAAAGCAATCTGGACATCTGTTCATCTTGGTATGAAATACTATATCTGAAAGGCAACAAATGCTAACGAAAGAATGAAATGAAGAGGAACCTTTGCCAAGGATAGGCCCTAGTGTAGTTTATGATCTGACAATGGCCTTTAAAAACACAACTGGTTCCTCCTTATTGTCCCAAATGCTAACTCCATAAGCAAAATCCAGAACAAATGTAGGGGTTTTCCCCAATGATAATACAAAACAAATCAATTATAATGCAACTTAATTTTCTTAAAGGCCATCGCATTTTGATCATGACAAAATTATAAACAAACAAAAACACAAAGTATCCCTGAGATACTCATTCACTACAAATCTGGAAAAACTTCATCTTCATCATTGTAAATCCTCTCCTCGCCTACAGCCCTGTTCATCTGTAGATATATCACCATGGCCACTGTGGTAGGACACAGATTTACTCTGTACAAGAATCCAAGGCAATAGAAGAGACAACTTTCAGCCTGACCCGCAAGGCTAGCTAAAATTTTTTTAAAAAAAAATATGTATCCAAAAAAAAAAAAGGAATATATACTCTCCCCTTCAAGGATTTAGTCAAAGAGAAAGGAGAATTGAGAGAAGCAAATCTCTCTTCCTCTTTAGATCACCTTGTTTATTTACTCCAGAGGGGAAGAGCCTCAATGTCTTGGAAACATCAAGAGTTTCTTTATGCCCTGTCAAAAGCAGACAAAGAAAGAAAAGGCATGTTGCTTTCTAGATCTACTGAGGATGTCCAGCTCTCCAGGCACTGTGGTATAATGCACAGTATTAGTCGGGATATGCAGCCAATCACAGCTCAAGTCTTCGCAGCCCTCCATCCTTCATTTCACCTATCATCTGTGGGCTTCTTAAGAATGGGGACTAGGTTGCTGGGACTGGTGCTCTCTGTCACAGTGGAAGAATATTAGTCCTGTTTCCTGTGCTCTTAAGTCCTGAAAACGTGGACAGCTCTTATCACATATTGCCGGCAGATGGGACACTCATTCATACGTTTCCCACACTTTGTGCAAGTCACCATGTGGCCACACTCCAACAGGACACAGTCAATGATGGAGTCCATACAGATTTTGCAGAGATTTTCTTCAGAACCGGGGAGTGTCGCATTACCAGTTGGAGCTAGAACAAGAAGAAAAGAGTTTTTTTTAGCATGGGAGACAAAAATTCTGGCAGGAAGCAAAATAAATAAGGAGTGACTGGTTTTAATTCACTTAAAACATCAAAAATCAAGGTAATAAAGCGTACCCTGCTTGTGGTGCCATAGTGTGTCTCTACCTACTACTTTAGGAAAGATTGCATGCTACCAACTCAGAAGTTTCTGTCGGCTTTCTTTATTTTCCAGTTATCTTCTCCTGCTCCTCAGCATGTCTTTTCCCCTTAAGACCAAAGGTGGGTAAGGTAGGTAGGCATCTGTATGATAAATAGATACACAATGCCTCTCCTTTTCCATGTATTTCTCTTTTTTAAAAAACAAAAAAAAGCTGCCACACTTGTGACCTTCTCCACATTCTGCAACAGTTTCAAGACTATGGCACGGTTCTTGAATATAGGCCATATACCCAGGAAACTGGGAAGCATGTGGGCTGAGTATATAAGACATGCTTAACCATGTTTACTGTAGTGTAGATGAACTCATGTAGCATGGTAAGCTCCATTAGAGTTGATTTTGATAAAGTTCATAAAATCATGTACAATGGAAGTCTAATTCAAACCTCTGCATTCCTGACAGATGATCCTTCAGCCTCTCTTTGATAACCTCTAGCACAAGAGAACTCATTACTTCATCTGGCAATCTTTTCCATTGATCTACAGTTCATACAGTTGGATTTTTTGAAGCTTACTATGCTGTAGAAAACCAGCCTGTTAATCTATGGTTCAATGCACCATGTGAACTCAGAAAATGAATTAATTCAGTAGTGCTAAGTGCACCATGCATTTGTTTTCTCTCCTGCCTAAAATGCTATTATACTAATCCCTGTGCATTTGTCCTATAATTTTGAACTGCTCCATATGCAGAGAAAAAGTCGCATGTCTAAAGTAATTTCTGGAGCTTTCATGAAATACTTTGTCTATGGTTTTACATTCCCCTAACACAAAAGTACACAATATTAATGCACATAAAATGCATTTACATGATGACATTGTGTGTGTGTGTGTGTGTGTGTGTGTGTGTGTGTGTGTGTGTGTAGCAGCACAAACACTAAAGCATACATACATTTATTGGCTCAAATAAAGAAACCAAATTACATCGATTTGAGACTACCAATTTTCCTGAAAGACGGTAATTGTTCTTGTTTAAATAGTTGCAGCCATACAATGTTGAGAAGACAAAAAAGAACATGCTTACCAGTTTGATCATCAGTATCTGAAACTGAATAAGAAAAGAAAAAAAAGTGTGAGCTTGAGATGTTTGCCATAGAATGCAAGGTAAATTAATGGACCACCATCTTATTTTCCAACTATTATCCTACTTTCTAACTTTCCATTTTTTAAGGGATTGGATAAAAGATAAAACATGCATTACATGGGAGAAGGAGAACACAGTTTATTATTGCATTTGTGATGGTCAGAGAAAAAATAAACCATTACCATTCTGTTTGGTTAAGAGGCAACGGAGTAAAATATTGCAAGAGCCCTGGTTGCATTCATTCCAGAGCCTCAACCTGAACAATGAAATTAATTCTTTTTCTGATTTTCCACTATATTTAAATTATTAAGTGAAATACAAAAGCAGGAGTTTTATGCCATGAACACCTGTTGAAGGTTAATATTAACCAAGCTTATCAGATTTAAATCTAGCATACGTACAAAAGCATCTGCCAGATTACTTGACCTGGTTAAGCATGTTGTATAAACACAGTTATTGATCTGTTCTAGTGTCAATGCTCTCTCCATGTCAATGAACACAAATCAACCAAAGGAACTGCTTCCTCCATCTGCCCGCTGTAATTTTAAACTCCAAATAATCCCATGTAACTGTCATTAATATATACAAATTAAAAACAATGGAGGGAGGAATTTCATACCCAACTGCTGGAGGTCCTTCTCTTTGTAAAGGCGGGTCACCCTCTCCATTAGCTCCCATTTCTCACAACAGCCTTTGTAGTTAACAAAGTTGCGAGCCAGGATCTCTTTCAACTGCCTTACTGAGAGGGCATCAATATCTCTCACACTTGTTAGGTCAGAGAGGGATGCCCTCCGTCCCGTAACTAGGTTATCTTCTGAATCAGTGGACTGAAATAGAAGAAATGAAACATTCACAACAGGAAGGAAATCAAGCAACCAAGACCAAAGTTAAACACAACTTTCTGAATTAAAAAAATAATTAAAAGCTATAAGAGAAAAAAAATAAATAAAGCTACAACAGTAAGCCATAATAACGACTTCTTCATTGTGCTGAATAGCCACAAATGAGGGCTTGCCCCCATTTCCCACAAGGACCTCCAAGCTTGCATGTCCCAACAAAATCAGCAACTCCAATACAGGTAGTCCTCAACTTACAACAGTTCATTTAGTGACTGTTCAAAGTTACAATAGCACTGAAAAAAGTGACTTATGATCATTTTTCACACAATCATTGCAGCATCCCCATTGTCACATGATCAAAATTCAGATGCTTGGCAACTGACTCATATTTATGACGGTTGCAGTGTCCCAGGGTCATGTGATCCCCTTTTGCAACCTTCTGACAAGCAAAGTCAATGGGGAAGCCGGATTCACTTAACAACCATGTTACTAAATTAACAGCTACAATGATTCACATAACAACTGTGGCAAGAAAGGTCATAAAACTCACTTAACAAATGTTTGACTTAGCAACATAAATTTTGTGCCTTTAAGCAGGGGTTGGGGGGAGGGATGGACTGCAAGGATGGTTTGTTGTTCCCTCAGATGTTTTATGTATGGTGTAATATTGTTTCTTTTAACTTTGTGAAGTCCCACCCCCCCAAAGTCATTTTAGAGTTGAGTGGCCTAGAAATTGATAAATAAATCAATAACACAAAATCCCATGTTATTCTATCACATGGTAAAATTTTACTTGCTTTGAGGGTCAATACTGGCTAAAAAAGTACAATTTATACAAAGATCTGTGTCTGTAAATAGACATACATCTCACCTGACATTTTGAAATCAGAGCAACAGAGAATATGCCCCATTTTGGGGGTTCAGCAAATGGGGAGGAAGACTGCAGAATTAAGCTGCTTAGTTTTTTTTTTAAGCCACATAAAAGAATCTTATGGTCAGAGCAGATCTCACCTCCTCCAGCTCCATGCTGGCACTGATGTTGTTACCTAGTTTGGTAATGAAATGTTTGCAAGAAAGCAACCAAGCTCAGAGAGCACCAAGGACCCCACAGTTCAACCCTGAGGTACAAATATTCCCTTTTATCGGTCTTCCAACTCCAAATCCATTACAGAATTGCACGTCTTTTCATTTCAAAGCATGTAGTTATTTCCATAGCATTCTCAGCACATAAAGGACTTCATCCGTTTCTGATACCACTGTTAGTACCAAATGTTGACTCAGACTGTATCAGCCATTGCAAGATACAGCCTTCCCCTTTTCAGCCTCTAATCCCTGAAAAGCAGGCAGTGACCTTCCCTTACCTGCGTCTCTTCCTCAGGCAGGTTTTGGACTGCATTCTCAACTTCTGCCATATCGTCCTGGCTCGGCAGCACGTGCCCATTTGCCTAAGAAGGAAAAGTGTAACTGAATTGTTCAGAAAGTTTGGGGAGGGGGCTGGGGAGAGGCTTTCCTTCAGCTGGCCTTTACTTGCTCACTCAAGGGATCATCAAGAGCCCAAGAAAATGTGCAGCCAATGGCGAGAAGCCAGACCATCATCAATACTTCAAAATTGGACGAGGAATTTTGCTTTAGGTTGAGATCCTCACCTTGCTGTTGGCTAAGCCCTGTTAGGACTGCCTTGGCTCACGTAGGAAAGCCCTTGGGTGGTATCTCCAAGGAAGCAGAGCCAGGACAGTCATGATGGAGCTATAGGGAGCTAGCAAGAGACGTGCTATGAAGGCTGGCTCTGCTCTGCTGCCTTCCATTGTGACACAACGTGACATCATGGAGAATGCAAGGCATTTTTATGACACAATACCAAAGCCCCACATATGCCCTCTCTCTGGAAGGTGGCCATGCATTTTCCACACCAAGATCTGAAAAGAATGAAGACTTATCTATTTAGGATTCCATAACTGAAAGCATCCAGCCACGAGTGTGTTCGAGCCACAAAAAAGCTGCCATGAAGTCAAGCAAGGTTAGAACAGAAGAAACTCGTATTAACAAAAATTGGGAGGATGGGAAGAGTTGCAGAATGTGAGAAACTTTGTCATCATCTGGGCAAATGGAGGAGGACGTTTTTAATCATAAAGGCTGTAATTGCCTTCCTGCATTTGGCATAGGAAGATTAACTTTTATGTAATCTACTTTCTGGAAAAGTAAAAGGGAAGTTAAAGGACTTCTGTAGGGAAGCTCCAAGTTCAATGCAAGCCTCTCCCCTTCTATTGGCAATGGGTCTTCATAATAACAAACCCATAAAAACTGGACAGATATTTTATGGGGCGGGGGAAAAGTAATTTTGTGCAAATGATACAAACACAAATATATCCGTCAAGACTAAACACTGGGCAGAAACATAATTTCTTCATAAGCTTCTAAAACCCCAGGATGGGGGATGATTTTGCATTATTTTCTCTTAGAAGTGTAAACAATCTTAGGAAGTATAATCAAGAACAGGATGGAGTGGGGGAGACAGAATCCACCCAATACCGAAGTGCTAGGCTTCCCATATTCCTGCTATTACTAATTATTTTAAAATGAAAAGTAGGCACAACAGACCCTTTCCCAGCCTCTCAGCTCTAAGAACAGGAGGGAGGTAGTGGCTAAGCCAACTGGGATCAGAGAAACTTGGCTAAATTGAAGACCCTGACCCAACCTATTTTAAGAGCATTTCAAAATTTAAAAAAACTAACGTATTCCAGGGTTATAGCAAATGTCTCTTATAAATTACTCTTCTTTTAAATCAGTGTTTCTCAACCTTGACAATTTTAAGGCATGTGGACTTCAACTCCCAGAATTCCACAGCCAGCATTGCTGGCTGTGGAATTCTGGGAGTTGAAGTCCACATGCCTTAAAATTGTCAAGGTTGAGAAACACTGTTTTAAATGAAGATGGCAGGAGGCTGAACTTGGGGGTTCTGCACACAAAGTACACATTCCACTATCTATTTTCCTCTCCCACTATATTATATAAGCCCTTTTTTTAAACTCCATATTCAAGCAACATCTTCACATCGGACAACAGCAGCCAACGGGACCTTGTGCCAAGGCATCTAAATAAGTATCCTGGTACCTGGACCAGGGTAGCAGAAGCATCCGTACCTGTGGAGGCTCCTCAGTCTGCAAGGCAGGGTTGGTGGAAATTTGCTCAGGAGAATAATCCAGTGAAACTGGCACAGTTGTACACTCCTCCTGGGCAACAGACACTGGTGCTGGGGGAGGAACCCGGGGCCCCCTCTCCCTTTGTGGATCCAAGGGCTGCTGACTGATGATCAAGTACACCAACTCATCTTTTTCACGGCACATCTCCGTGGAGATCTCCCGGAGTTCCAGATAATCTCGCAAGTCCTTCACTTTCATTTTGATAAGTTCTTCCCGCTGAAAAGCTGTAGCTCGGAATCGCTCACAGAGGTGGCAGAGGCAGGGACCACTCTCAGGCTGGTGTGAACAGGAAGGGCAGAAGTTCTTTTTGCAGTCCAGGCAGACACGCTGCTCAGAAGGGGGAAAAGGAGAAAGAACATCAGGGGGACTTTTGAGCAGAGAAACCATAGTACAGAATACTTGTTTGCATTCTCTCATGACACTGTCCATGTGAACATCGAGGGCATGTGACCTGTGAATCGTCAGAAACATGCAGGCAGGCTAACCATCTTCCCATCAATCCCCGGAGAAAAACATCAGATTCCCACATTCTGGTTTGGCATGATTTAACTCATGAGAAGCCAGTTTCACAGCACCACCTTCTGTGAAGCAAGAAAGGTGCGGGGAGGCCTGCTCAATTTTCCAGTCTAGCTACTGTTAGTCGATAAACATCAGCTATTGCTGCTATCTGAAAATATATCCTTATGGAATATTTAGCACCTCAGAACCGAACGCCAATATTAGATCCAACTGCATAAATGCACAGCTAAATCAAAAGTGGAATAAACTCTGCTCAAACCATAGCTCTCAAAACTCTATTGGTTACAGCTTGAAGGGCAAGCAGAAGAATGGAGAGAGAGAACATAAAGAAAAGGCAAAAGGAAGAGGCATGGGTCAGCACAGCAGGGCAATAGGCAGAAGACCAGTGATGAGGCAGAAACAGCAATGGAACACTTACACTGAAAAAACAAATTGGCAGGCTATTTACTGAGATATATTTATCACTATATATGGGTTGGAATTCAGTTAATGCGTGGGATTCCATTACTGATTTTTTTTACAACAGCAAACAAACTTGCCGCGTCCATAAAAGTGTCCACACTTGCCATGATGACCCTCTTCTCAAGGATACTTTGGGAGCTTGACAATATTACTTATCCTCTCTTATTTTTGTTATTTTATGTAATGTTATTTTTATTTAATTATTATAACTCATTAAATTTCTAATGCACATTCCTGCAGCAATTCTCTCCAGCTTCTCTTTCTGGTATCTTGTTGCCTGCCTTCCATCAAACTCCTTCCTCAGGTGTTTATTCTACTACTGGCCCATCCTCCACTTCAGAAGTCTCCGAATTCGGCAACTTTAAGATTTGTGGGCTTCAATTTCCAGAATTCCTCAGCCAGCCATGCTGGGAGTTGAAGTCCACAAGTCTTAAAGTTGCCAAGTGTGGAGACCCGTGCTCTACCTCACATAATGTACAGGGCACATGGCTATTATAACTTTCCACTCAGTGCCTAATGTAAACAGGTTCAAGGGTGATCATAATGACTATGCAAAAGTTTCATGCAGTCTAGAACTTTTCGTCAAATTTGAACACTTGCAAATTTTTCAACTGCCAAAGTGTGGGCTTTAGTTCTAGTGCAAAGCCGTGCCAGAGAGCTTCATGGGTATAGTCACCGTGTTCCTCCTGAAACAAAATGTAAATTTTGGTAGAAGCTCTGCATTAAGCACTTGATTCATCAGGAGCACAAAGCAATCAAAAAGTGTTGTTCCCCTAGATCAGTGGTTCTCAACCTGTGGGTCGGGACCCCATTTGGGGTCGATCGACCATTTCATGGGGGTCACCAAGTAAGGCTGTCCGCCATTTTTTTTGTCCGCCATTTTTTTCCCCTTTTCCGGCAGGTGCCTTACCTCCCTTGGGCTGGGCCAGCTGGTGGTCGGCCTGCTCCGTCTCTGCCGCTTGCCAGCTACGCCTCGGCCGGCGCAGGGGGCGGAACCACGCATGCGCTGCGCTCCCGGGCAGGGAAAGTCCTCGACTTATGACCGGTTGGGTAGTCCTCGACTTACGACCGGTTTAGTCCTCGACTTACGACCGGTTTAGTCCTCGACTTACGACCGGTTGGGGTCGCGGCATTAAAAAGGTTGAGAACCACTGCCCTAGATCATAGGTGGCAAACTCGCCACGTCACGTGACATGTCGCAACGTATCGTGATGGTTTTTGCATTGCTGGAGCTGGGGAGGTGGGGTGGGCGTGGTCTCCATATGATGCAACTGGCCCGTGGGCCGGCAGTTTGATATCCCTGCCCTAGATCCATAAAAGCATTTTCAATTAAAAAAAAAATCCCCACTGGGGACCCAAATGGGGAAAATACCACTGAAGGTGGCTACTAGATTGATAGCATACCCCACCTGCCATCTTTTTTTTTTCATCAAACTATGTTCTCATTGTTTTCTTTTTCATTGTTTATTCTATTGTTCCATTACTTTGCTACTGTTATGTTTACACTTCTTTTCATTTCTCCATTTTTACTGTTGTAAACTACCTAGAGTAGCCCCACAGTGAGATAGGCAGTAAATAAGTTTAACAAATAATAAACAAAAATCTTCCAAAATAAACATAGCCTGAAAAACTTAGTGTAATTATGTCATTCCCAGGACAGGAAAGTTCTGGTCACTTTGGGCCAAGTGTTTCCCAATTTAAGAACATGGGAAATTAACTAAAGGAAGTGTTGTTATCCCACTTGCTTCCCTGAGCAACCCATCAGGGTTCAGTGCTTTGATTAAAGAACTAGCAAGGCAACGCCTTTCTGCTTGAACCTCTTCTCATGCAAATGAGAAAATTGTGTTCCTTGTCAGTTCAAACAGGACTCAGGTCATGCATAATCTTTGCTCCAGAGGAGTCAAAACAAACTTAATCTCATTAAATTATGTTCACAGCCATACTAATCCCTATTATCATCCCTTCTGAATAAATTAGACCTGATAAATAAAGATAAATCCTGTCATCAGAGTGAACGATTTCCTTCTGGCATTTGCTATCATTATGTCCAAGACCTGCTATGTAGATGCATCAATACAAGTGGCAGATAAACAAAGGGGGAAACGCCTCCTCTAGAGAGTTGCAACACATCCGGACTTGTTTAAAAGGAGGAAGGAGTTATATTTCTCTCTCTTTTATTTTTTGCTTTCTGTCACATATGAAAACTTTTACAAAATTAAAATAGATCAACTGGAACCTGTTATGATTTCCTAAACCCCAAGATACAGAAAGTACACAGGCTTTGTTCATATATCCTCTCAACCCACCTTATGTTAAATTATAACTATGCCACAACTAATGACCAATGGCATAACTTTACACACTTTTACACTGAACTCACCTTAACTAATCCATAATTTAGAGCTAAAAGTAACGCTTTAAAACAGTATTTTTCAAACTTGGCAACTTTAAGATGTGTGGACTTTGACTCTATGTGCCATTTCAAAGCCCATTCTTCCACTCAAGGTATATGCCATGACAGTATTAATCCAATTTAACTATAGTATCCTATTGATAATACATGCGTATATGCCCCCAACCCCAGATCAGAGTCTTATGGGCTGAATTCCCAGAATTCTCCTGCCAACATAATGTTGCCAAGTTTGAAAAAAAAAACTGCTTTAAACCTATTCAAACTTAGAGTGTAAAGCAGGCACTCCCTAGAGTAAACATGTGGCTTCTGAATTAAATGCAGTGAAGATTTAAAACTTCTCTCCCAGGGAAGCGTTTGAAAATTAAAAGTTCATGTCAAGAATAAAAGATTCTCCCTTCTGTTAACCTTTGCAAACTGAAGCAAATTTTGAAAAACAAGCTGCTAAGAGAGGAAATTCCATTTCAGATCTTAGCTTTACACAATTAATATAAGGAAATAAGCAAGTCAGTTGCAAACTACAGTACACTTATAATTCAGTCTTGCTTACTGCAAGTTTAACTCCTCCTGAGTTGTTCCAGTCCCCATCTTTTTCAGTAGGTTCAAGCTTCTTCTGTTCATTAAAGCAGGCCAAATCTAAATTTAAGTTCATAGCACTTTTCGAGTTACTGACCACTTCAGGATATGAGTCATGCATAAAAAACTGACTGTTAATGTTAATGTCACTGACAAATATAACATGTGAACATAGAGTCAAACCTAAAATAGATCAACTTTTATGATTTCCTTGGACTTTATACAAGCAAACATAGATCTATTATTTGATCAATCTAGTTTAAAACCTTGATTAATTCACAATGAGTGCATCATTGGGAGATCTGGTCTTACAACTGTTAAGCATCCCCACAGTCACATGATCAAAATTTGGGTGCTTGACAACTGGCATGTATTTATGACAGTTGTAATATCCTAGGACGGGGTGTCAAACTGCCGGCCCACAGGCAGGATGTGTCATGCCGAAACCGCACCCACCCCAGCTCTGGCAATGGGGAAAAAGTTGCGATATGTCACGACACATCACGTGACATTGTGAGTTTAACACCCCTGTCCTAGGATCATGTGAGCAACATTTGAGACCTTCCCAGCTGCCTTGTGACAAGCAAAATCAATGGGAAAAGTCAGATTTGCTTAATGACTATGTGATTCACTTACAAATGCAGTAATCAGGTTAACAATCGTGACAAAAAGGTTGTAAAATTGGCCATAACTCACTTAACAACTGCCTTGCTTAGCAACAGAAATTGTGATCCCAGTTGTGGTCGTAAGTTAAGGACTACATGTAATCAGTCAAAGGATTCACAATTTTGCCCTGATCACATTTTGAGGAATAAGCTCTTACAATATATGAAGAAACAATTAACTCCTAGATTATTAGAAAAACCATTTTCTAATTACTCTATTGTAGACCATCAAAAGTACTAACTGGAAAAGCATCAGTTTTTATTTACATGGTGTCTTCTGGTGGCACAACAACAACAACAACAACAACAACAACAACAACAACAATAATAATAATAATAATAATAATAATAATAATAATAATAATAATAATAATAATAATAATAATAAAGTTGAAGGGGACTTTGGAGGTCACCTAGTCCAATCCCCTGCTCAGGCAGGAAACCCTATACCATTTCAGACAAATGGCTGTCCAGTCTCTTCTTAAAAACTTCCAGTGTTGGAGCATTCACTGCTTCTGGAGACAGGTTGTTCCACTGGTTAATTGTTCTAACTGTCAGGAAGTTTCTCCTTAGTTCTAGGTTGCTTCTCTCCTTGATAAGTTTCCATCCATTGCTTCTTGTCCTGCCCTCAGGTGCCTTGGAAAATAGCTTGACTCCCTCTTCTTTGTGGCAGTCTGAGATATTGGAATACTGCTATCATGTCCCCCCTCGTCCTTCTCTTCATTAAACTAGACATACCCAATTCCAGCAGCCGTTCCTTATATGCTTTAGCTTCCAGTCCCCTAATCATCTTTGTTGCTCTTCTCTGCATTCTTTCCAGCATCTCAACATCTTTTTTACATCGTGGTGACCAAAACTGGATGCAGTATTCCAAGTGTGGCCTTACCAAGGCATTGTAAAGTGGTATTAATACTTCACGTGATCTTGATTCTATCCCTCTGTTAATGCAGCCTAGCACTGTGTTGGCCTTTTTGGCAGCTGCAGCACACTGCTGGCTCATATTTAAGTGATTGTCCACTAG